TGATCACATGCAGAACCTTAGCTAAACATGATTGTGGGTCCTTTATATCTTGATGCTTCTCAACATACTGCTTAAGGGTACCATTTGCTCTTTCCACTATTGCCTATCCAGTAGGAGAGTGTGGAATACCTGTCACATGCTTAACAGACCACTGATTCAAAAATTTCTGGACCCTAGCACTCACATAAGCTTAACCATTGTCCGTTTTGATACTCTTTGGGACTCCCATAACAGCAAAGCAACTTAACAGGTGCCTGATAACACGTGTAGCTTTTTCCCCGGCCTAAGCCGTAGCCCATATGTAATGACTATATGTATCTATAGTGACATGCACACACTTAACTTTACCAAATCTAGCTATATGTGTAACATCCATTTGCCATTTCTCATTTATTTCTAAACCTCGAGGATTAACTCCAATGCCTAAACCTATTCCACCATTATGATAACTACATGTTGGACATGCTCTAACAATAGCCTTAGCTTCTGATAGACTCAGCTCAAAGTGCTTTGCTAATCCCTTTGCATTTTGATGATATTTACTATGTGCTTCTCTGGCCAATGTATGCTTATCAATAGGACAAGAGTTATCAATGGGTAAAGTAACCAATTTGTCTGCACGTTCATTCCCTTCTCCTAAACCTTCAGACCATTTATGGCTCCTAATATGAATGACAGAATACACTGCATTTCTCTCTCGTAAAGCTTTCCTTAATTGTACCAATAACTCATACAATCGTTTATTCTTCACTCCCTTAATTGCTGCTTCCTCTATTCGTCTGGCTACTCCTGCAACATACATAGAGTCTGTGACCACATTTAAAGGCTCCTGTAAGTTGGACACTGCCCATACTACAGCCAACAATTCCAAAGTTTGTAAGCTATCTGCAGGATCTGCTGTAAGAAGTTGATGCTTCCATTGTCCTTTTTCTTGCCAGGTGACAGCAGCACGCCTTGATTTCTTTCCCGCATCTGTAAAAGCTGTAATAGCTCCTGTATCAAATAATCCATAAAGGGTTATGCTTTGATGCCCATGGGTGATTCCACTTTTTGTTTTGGTCTATTTTGTAAATCCACAGTTAAAAGTGTAACACCAGTAGAGCCAAAACCCTTTTCATCCCGTGTTTTTCCAGTAAATGACAGTATACCAGATGTCATTTGTGATAGTGGTATTAATTGTGCGATGCGTTGTCCTTTTGTTATTTTAATAGGAGGATAAAGGGTGTAAACCATGATTTGTATTTCCCCTGTATAATCCACATCGATAACACCAGGCAATACAAATAATCCCAGCATAGTTATTGAAGAACGTCCTAATAACAATGCTCCACATCTTTATCCATTTAATATAAGAGGACCCTTTACTCCAGTTTGTATCCTCTCAGGCCGGTTCGTCATTAGTGTGACGTCTACTGCTGCTGATAAATCCAAACCGAGGCTCTCTGCTGTTGCTGGTTGCAGACAGGAGGTGACAGTGATGTCACGGCAGCAGCTGATGTCTCCGATGTCACGGCGGCTACTTGTGTCTGGGCGCGTATGTCCCTCATTGCCGCATCAGTAACACTTGATGAATGGTCTCGAGCTCTGCGTGTCTGCCAGTGAGCCGCTTCGGAGAGGAGCAAGAGCAGCTAACACCTGATTCTGAGCAGCTAACACCTGATTTTGAGTAGACTCTGCTTGCCTTTGTAACCCTAATCCTAATTCCTTTAAAGTTTCTACTATAAATGCCTGTGAAGCTGTTGGCATTAATGCCATTCGCTCTAAAGCTTCCTCAATAGTCCAATTTGCCCCTAAAGTAGCTAACACTCTTGCATTTGCCTAACAGGTTCACTTTTTACTCCAAACTAACCATAGAACGTAATTGAGCTAACATCTTCCAATCTAAGGGAGTATATTCCGCTATATTATGTGTAAGGTTCCCCTGTGCATCATACTGTGGTGTGTATGTAACCGGACATGCAAGATTAGAAGCTACTTCCACCGCCTCGCCATAACTTGCCAAATGTCTTTGCTGACTTATCATCATCTAACACTGTATCCCACAGGATATCCCCAAACCTTTTCCACTCTACTATCTCATGAACTGTATATGAATTAGCAAAAATTGCTTTAGAATAACCATAAGCTAATAACCCTGGTAATTCCTTTTTTAAATCTATCCCTTTTACTCCTCGTCTTTCTAAATATGAGGAGAAGGAATCGTATGTCGCTTGCCTATCCATACCTATATATCAGCGCGCGCTGTTGCAGCCTTCCAGGCTCTCGGCGACACGTAGAGACTTGAGATACCTTTTGTAATCCTCAAGGGTGCTTTTAAAATCCGGCACCATCCCGGCTGCAAGGACTCTCACCCAACTTCCTCGACCGTGGCGAATTTATAATCCAAGAGAGCGAACGTTCAGAATGCTGCCTTTGCCCGCATTCTCCACCATTTGTCGGAGGAAGGAGACCCAGACACCAATTGGTTCATCCAAGTCCAATTTATTGATCGAATACGGCGGGTTAAATATAGTTCTTAATAAGCTTCATACATATTGCAAAAGTTGAGCTCAGGATTGGTTAGTTACATATCAACAACTACACCTACTTCTACATTATTGTGCTTATTCTTCTGTTACATTCTGCAGATATTCAGGACTAATCTCACCTCCCTTTCCTCATGTTGCAGCAAGGCCATCCGGCATTCTTGCTTGTCAGCAGTCACTGAATCAGAGACTGCTGACCACCCTCTTTCAGCTTAACCAGTGGCATTATGTCAGTATGGCCTTTCTCAGCTAACCAACTCTTAATAAAATCCTCCAGATGTCCCCAGACCCTTCCCCAAACCCCCCTGACCCACCCCTGACCCTTTGTCCCAGCCCCGCCCCCTTTGCCCCAATGCTGCCATTTGGCCCCAAACCCTCCCCTGCGTCTCGCCCCAAACTCAACTCTCGGCCCCAAATCTCCCCCTCGTGCCCCAAAAGTGCCCAAAGGGCCGAGATTTCGGGACGGCGGGTGAGGTTTGGGTCAGCGGCTGCGGCTGGGAGCCCAAAGTGGGGCGGAATCGGGGGAGTTTTGGGGCCAAAGCAGGAGGGTTTGGGACAGAACCAGTTTGGGGGTTTGGGCTCTTTTGCCACGATGGGTGGAACTGGGGGAGATCTGGGCAAAGGGTCAAGAATGAGGTCAAGGGCTGAGATTTGGGTAAAGGTTCTGGGGATTTTGGGACAGGAGGGGCCCAGGCAAGGGGAAGTGGCCAATAACAGTGACATCATTACCCCAACAGGAACCAGCAGCCTTGGCACAGAATTGGCATCCGGAATCCTCGTCCTTGAGGTTCATGGCGAGCTCGGCCAATCAGGGGCCGGGCAGCTGGGGGAGATTTGGGTCAAATGGGCAAAACTGGGGAGAAAATGGAGACTTAGGCAAGGTAGGGGCAGAGTTTGGGTTAAAGTGATGGACATTTGAGAAGAACGGCTGCGATTTGTGGGAAAGATCAGAGGATTCAGGGAGATTTGAGCAACAAGTGGTGGCGGCTTGGGACTACAACCAAAAGCAGCAACATAAGCAACAGCACCAGCACTGTTACCACAAACACCATCAACACATTTGGCACCGAAATAGGATCCGGAATCGACGTCCTTGAGGTTGTTCTTGGTCAGCATCACCGAGCTCTGCCCGTTGTCCCTGGAGATCCTGAACCGGCCCTTGACTGAATCTGAGTAGCCAATGCCACCACCGTTGCTCTTGATCCCCGCGATGTATTCCAGTCCCTGCCTGGGTCTCTGGCAGACCCAGAACATGGAGAAACTCCCGAAACTGAACCCGGACCCGCGGCAGAGGAGGCGCAGGGAGTCCCCAGGGGGCTGGAGGTTTCCCCCGCACTCCAGCAGGGTCACGGCCGTGCGGAGCCCTGCGGGACAAAGGGGAGATGGGGATGAGAAACCTGATTGGCTGAGGGCCCAAAGTGGGCACCGCCATGCCAGAAAAAGGGTGTGGGATCCATCTGGGAGGGCCAGCAGGTGCTGCAGGAGGATGATGAACTCCAAGGGTCCCAATTTGGGGCCAGCAATAAGGATTTGGGTCAAGGGTTGAGCTTTGGCCTCATCCCCATCTCCCCTTTGTCCCGCAGGGCTTCAGGCGGCCGTGACCCTGCTGGAGTGCGGAGGGGACCTCCAGCCCCCCAGGGGGTCCCTGAAGTTGCTCTGCCGGGCATCTAGGTTTGATTTTGGTAGTTTTGGAATGTTCTGGATCCGACAGAAATCTGGGAAGACTCTGGAATACATCGCCAGTATCAACAGTGGTGGTTACACTGACTACACGCCATCAGTCAAGGGCCGGTTCACGATCTCCAGGGACAACGGGCAGAGCTTGATGACGCTGACCATAAACAACCTCCAGGACGAGGATTCCGCCGTTTATTTCTGCGCCAAACGTAGCAATAATGGTTATGGTTCTGCTGGTCCTGCTCGTATTGACAACAAGTCCTGCAGCGACCCCAGCCCCCTTGCATCCCAAGGGCCCACAATCCCCAGAGATCCTGCCCCGACTCCCAGCTCTGTTCATCAAATCTTCACCTGTTCCTTCCACACTCTGCCGCTGATGCCCCAACTCTCGACTTTCCCTCAGTTTTGCCCATTCGACGATAATCTCCCCCATCTCCCGGGCCCTGATTGGAGGAGGCCAGAACTGGAGCCCAGGGGTGAAGGTTTGGGGCCAATGGTTGAATTTTGAGGCAGGAGTAGGGGAGGGTTGGGGGTCAGTGCTGACCATTGGGGCAAATGTGGACAAAGGGTCAAGGGCTGAGATTTGGAGGAAGGCTCTGGATTTGGGGACAGGGGGCGTAGGGAGGGGTGTGGACCTACAACTGGTGTCTTCATCAGAAGCAGCAGCACTCCAATCATTATCATAGCCAGATTTTGCACAGAAATAGGATCTGGACTCCTCGTCCTTGAGGTTGTTCATGGTCAGCGTCACTGAGCTCTGCCCGTTGTCCCTGGAGATCGCGAACCGGCCCTTGATCGATGGCGCGTAGGCGATGTAGGAACCACTGCTCCAGATCCCTGCAACGTATTCCTGCCCCTGTCCGGGTTTCTGACACAGCCAGAGCATGGAGAAACTCCCGAAACTGAACCCGGACCCTCGGCAGAGGAGGCGCAGGGACCCCCCGGGGGACTGGAGGTCCCCCCCGCACTCCAGCAGGGTCACGGCCGCCCGGAGCCCTGAGGGACAAAGGGGAGATGGGGATGAGGCCAAAGCTCAACCCTTTACCCAAATCCTGACTCTTGGCCCAAAATTGGGACCCTTGGAGTTCATCATCCTCTTCCCTGGTGGGTCCTGCCCCTTTTTTCAGCTGTCCAAACCCACTTGGAGGCCCTTGACCAATCAGACTTTTGATTTCCATCCTCTCCCCTTTGTCCCACAGGGCTCCGGGTGGCCGTGACCCTGCTGGAGTGCGGGGGGGACCTCCAGCCCCCCGGGGGGTCCCTGTGCCTTCTCTGCCGAGGCTCCGGGTTCAGTTTTGGGAGCTACGACATGTTCTGGGTGCGCCAGAGATCCGGGCAGGGGCTGGAGTGGGTCGCGTGGATCAGTGACGATGGTGGCAACTCCGGCTACGCGGATTCAGTCAAGGGCCGGGTCACGATCTCCCGGGACAACGGGCAGAGCTTGGTGACGCTGACCATGAACAACCTCAAGGAAGAGGATTCCGGATCCTATTTCTGCGTCAAATGTTACAGCAGTGGTTGTGGTCCTAATATTGATGCTGGTTATGATGACGATGCCAGTGGTGGCCCCTCCTCATTGCTGTGCCCACAAACACCCCAAAACCCCACATTCTACCCCCAAATCTTTAGTGTTGGCCACAAATCTTGACCATTTTTCCCAATCTCCCCAATCATTGTCTCACCTCACTCATTTCCATGGGGCTTTCAGAATTTGAAATATTTCTCAAAGGTTCATCCCCAAAACACTGCCCTTTGTGCCCCAGATCTCAGCGGGGTTCACTTGTGACCATTGGCTCCAAACTCAGCTGGTTCTGCCTCAAATCTCGGCTCTTGGCGCCACACCTCAGCTCTTGGCTCCAAGGCTCAATCAAGGCTCTCAACCCTGGGTGCAAATGGTCAAGATTTGGGAAAAATGGTCCAGATTTGGGTGTGTGGGCGTCAACAATGGTGTCAAGGGTAGGAGGGAAGGACCTGGGCAACAGGGATGGGGATGGGACCAAAATTAGAACTAGCCGGATGAGCCTCTGTACTGGTTTAGGGCAAATTTGTTAAGGAATCTGCAAAGGAGGCCCCCTCCAGAGAGCAAAATCCACACGGCCCCTCCGCCCAACCGGTTCGGGAAAAAATTCCTCGGAGAGAGGTGGAAAGAACCTGTTTATTTGACTGGCACAGCACCCCCCGCACACAAAATGAACAATACCAGCTGACACCGCTCTGAGAAAGATGACAAAATCAGAAAGTCTCTTTCGGGGGTGGTTGCTCTGTTCTCAGTCCCTCCGGCGCTGGGCCAGCTGCTGCAGCCAAACCTTTGGTGTTCCCGGGTCCCAGTCCGGAGCAGGTTCGAGATGGTCACAGGAACAGGAGAGAAGAAACAGTCCGGGAAGGAATTTGGACTGTTTAGCTAAACTAGCTAATAAGCAGAAGCAAAAGTGAGAGCAGAAGCAAGAGCAGAAAAGCAAGCAAGCAAAAGCAACAAGCTGCCAACTAGAAGGGGAAAAGCAGCCCTATGTACTGCCTTGTCTCCGTGTCCCTGATAAGGGAAACCCAAACAAACTTCCACTTTTCAGAGCCAGTCTTAAAGGCACAGAACAGATGAATGGGGATACAAGCATCATAACGTCACCCCAGGACATTCTACCCGTTATCCCCATATCATCAACATACTACAACACATCATGCATTATTCATACAAAATTTCCATCTGTTTCCCCAAAATTACAAGCAATACCCATCATGCCTTCATCACATCCCCACACTGGACCACTGAATCCAGGCCCTATATTACAGAGCTGCAGGATTCCCCCTTTTCACTTTAGTCACTTAAAGCTCCATCTATCACTTGCTCAGACCTTCGACACTTACACATTTCCTTCTCCATCTTCCACTTGCCCAGACCTTCAACTCTTACACATTTCCTTCTATCTCATGTCTGTATGGTTTAATGTACAGACAATGGCAGTAACATCCAATGAACAGTGATATTGCATATCATTCTTACCCCACAATCATATCTCCCTGAGGTACACATCGTGTTGTTCCATCTCTTTGCATTATCCACCACGTGCAACCTGGTCCCTGAGCAAAGACAACCCCACGAATGGGTTTGTCTCTACTCGAGGCAGAGTTGATCCACACAGTCTTCCCTAACAAACCTCTGATATGTACCACTGGGACTTTGTCTCCTTCTATTACATTCAGGGACTCAGACTGGGCAGGACCTGCTCGGTTGGTGGAACCTCGGGTGTTGACTAACCAGGTGGCCTTTGCTAAATGCTGCTCCCAATTCTTGAAAGATCCCCCACCCAAAGCTTTCAACTGGGTTTTTAGTAGTCCATTGTACCTCTCCACTTTCCCTGCAGCTGGTGCATGGTAGGGGATATGGTACACCCACTCAATGCCATGTTCCCTAGCCCAGGTGTTGATAAGGCTGTTCTTGAAATGAGTCCCGTTGTCTGACTCGATCCTCTCAGGGGTGCCATGTCTCCACAGAACTTGCTTTTCCAGGCCCAGGATGGTGTTGCAGGCTGTGGCATGAGACACAGGGTAGGTTTCCAACCATCCAGTGCTGGCTTCCACCATGGTCAGCACGTAGCGCTGACCCTGGCGTGTCTGGGGCAGTGTGATGGAGTAAATCTGCCAGGCCTCCCCATACTTGTACTTGGACCACCACCCACCGTACCACAGGGGCTTCACTCGCTCGGCCTGCTTGATGGCAGCACACGTCTCACAGTCATGGATAACCTGAGAAATACTGTCCATGGTTAAATCCACCCCTTGGTCTCGTGCCCACTTATAGGTGGCATCTCTGCCCTGGTGGCCTGAGGCATCATGGGCCCATCGAGCTAGGAATAACTGTCCCTTATGTTCCAAATCTAGGTCTATTTTGGACACCCCTATCTTTGCAGCTTGGTCTACCTGCTCATTGTTCTGGTGCTCCTCATTGGCCCTGCTCTTGGGGATATGAGCATCGACATGGCGGACTTTCACAGGTGGCCTCCCTACCCTGGTAGCGATGTCTTTCCACTCCTCAGCAGCCCAAATTGGTTTTCGCTCTACGTTGCCAGTTGGCCTCTTTCCACCTCTCCAGCCATCCCCACAGAGCATTGGCCACCTACCATGAATCGGTGTAGAGGCAGAGCTTTGGCCACTTCTCTCTCTCAGCAATGTCCAGGGCCAGTTGAACAGCTTTGAGTTCAGCCAGTTGGCTCGATCCACCTTCTCCTTCGGCAGCTTGTGCAACCTGTCCTGCGGGGCTCCACACGGCTGCTTTCCACTTCCGGTTCATCCCTACGATGCCACAGGAACCGTCGGTGAAAAGAGCGTGGCGTGATTCCTCTGGAAAAACTTGGTTATATGGAGGAGCTTCTTCAGTCCATGTTGGACACCCCTATCTTTGCATCCTGGTCTACCTGCTCATGGTTCTGCTGCTCCTCATTGGCCCTGCTCTTGTGCACATGGGCATCTGCATGGCAGACCTTCACAGGTGTCCTGGGGTGACGTTATGTGTCCCTTCTCTCGGCTGTTTTATGGCCTGGAAAGGCTCGGGGATGGCCTTGGGCAGCCCGCGCTCCAAAGGACGAGAAGAGGCTTCAGGTCTTTCTCGGACTTCAGTGTTTAGTGGTTGTTTATCTAAAAGATTTTTCTCTCTGCCCGACAGAGGTCCGCACAGCAAGCCAGCCACGAGCACACTGCCAGCCCCCGGGGCGGTCACTTATCTTTATACTCAAAATTACTCAAATCCTCCCTTCCTCATACAGGTGCACACTACTCTAATTAACTTATCCCTTCACCATTTATCCCCGTGAAATCCTCCCATCCTCATACAGGTGCACACTACTCTAATTAACTTATCCCTTCACCATTTATCCCCGTGAAATCCTCCCATCCTCATACAGGTGCACACCGCGAGCCCCCGGGGCGGTCACTTATCTTTACACTCAAAATTACGTATACAATATTTACCTATTCTTTCCAATACCTTTCACCCTTATTGACCGGTGCACTTTTAGTAATAACCAATCCCAAAGTGCCACCACCACCACAGAAGATGGAGGCCAAGAAGAAGAAGAAGAAGAAGAAGGACAGGACACGCCCCAATTCCTCCATCTTACTTCTCCAGACCTCCCTGTACCGAAATCCTAAACCCTGTGTTTTACACTCTAATTAACTCATCCCTTCACCATTTACCCCGGTGAAATCCTCCCATCCTCACACACGCGTCGTCTCCCGTGCAGGATCAAAGTCCAGCCACCAGACACTTCTGGCGACATTCCAGGACCCCCGAGTCCCCCAAGGGTGGTCTCGGTCACTCTGCACCTCAGTCCTGAGGCGCTGAAATCCCACATTATGATGCTCGTATCCCCACCCATCTGTTCTGTGCCATTAAGAGCGACTCTGAAGAGTGGAAGTTTTGTTTGGGTTTCCCTTATCAGGGACACAGAGACGAGCAGTACTTGGGGCTGTTTTTCACTCCTTGCTTTCAGCTTGCTGCTTCGCTCGCCCCCTTTTCTGCTCTCGCTTCTGCTTCTGCTCATTAGCTGGTTCAGCTAAACAGTCCAAATCCCTTCCCGGACTGTTTCTCCTCTCCTGTTCCTGTGACCATCTCGAACTATTGAAGTGAAGGGAGAAGGACCATCCGATTGATGCATTGAACTCCGATTTATTGATCAATCAATCCCCTTAAATAACAGTGTTAACGAAATTTATGCGTATTCTGTAATCCAAGTTTATGATAGGCTAACAGAGAAAACTCTAACCACTCCTTTTGTTTTAGAATACCTACAATTGTTTATCAAAAACAGAACCAACGTTCCCACTGTGATACGAAGGGTTCCCAAAACTTCCACATCGGTTCCCAGGGTGCCAGCTTTTCCCAGAGCAGGTGTTCTGCTTGTTATGGGAAGTCCGCCTGAGAACTTTATTGTTTATAAAGAGAGTCGAATTGTTTATAGAAATCAGAAGGCTGAGAACTGCGTTAGGAACTGCTTTACTTTTCCCTTTTACTTTTCTCTCAATCGTATCTCTCATGGCCTTTTTCTTTAAGCCATTCTTGAACTAAACTCTCCACATTGAACCTGCTCCGCACTGGGACCCGGGAACACCGAAGGTTCGGCTGCAGCAGCCGCCCCAGCGCCGGAGGGACTGAGAACAGAGCGACCACCCCCGAAAGAGACTTTCTGATTTTGCCATCTTTCTCAGAGCGGTGTCATCGGGTATTGTTCATTTTGTGTGCTGGGGGGTGCTGTGCCTGAAATAAACAAGTTCTTTCCACCTCTCTCCGAGGAATTTTTTCCCGCACCGGTTGAGCGGAGGGGCCGTGTGGGTTTTGCTTTCTGGAGGGGCCCTCCTTTGCAGATTCTTTAACAAATTTGCCCTAAACCAGGACAACAGGTGGCCTCCCTACCCTGGTAGCGATGTCTTTCCACTCCTCAGCAGCCCAAATTGGTTTCCCTCTACGCTGCCAGTTGGCCTCTTTCCACCTCTCCAGCCATCCCCACAGAGCATTGGCCACCATCCAGGAATCAGTGTAGAGGCAGAGCTTTGGCCACTTCTCTATCTCAGAATGTCCAGGGCCAGCTGAACAGCTTTGAGTTCAGCGAGTTGGCTCGATCCACCTTCTCCTTCGGTAGCTTGTGCAACCTGTCCTGTGGGGCTCCACACGGCTGCTTTCCACTTCCGGTTCATCCCTACGATGCGACAGGAGCCGTTCTCGAGGGATGGGCAGTTATAAGTCCAATTGTGTCAGGAACTCACGTCTTAAAAAGGAACTCGCTAGGCCGTGGCGAAATATTTAGTATGGATAACATTGCAACTGGACCAGCGAAGAGATTTTTGCTCTTATTTCCAGCACATCAGTCTCAGAACGCAAAAAGGAGACATGAACAGCTCACTGATCCGCCCCAAAATGTCTCCTCTAAGAGGGCTCATACAGCAACACATGAAATCATCTCAGTCTGCGTTTTCAGCCAATCACACAGAGAAAACACATATTGACGAGCATTCTATCTAATCTTATAAAACACACGTAATGGTAGCTAAAACAAAGACTGGTTCATAAGAGACGAAGAACAGAGTTCTATTCATGCTAACCTTCTGAAGATATACATTAAATAACTTTGCTGCCATCTTAAAGCCAATTCTACAGAGGCCTGTTGTTGTTTGTCACGTCTACTGCTTGGGAAACTTTTCTGCTTGCATGACAAACTTTTCTGCAGTGCTAAAAAAACTCCAATCTAAAACCCACATACCTTTCTTTAACCACTTCTTAAAAATCCTCTAACCTTATAAATTCCAATGACCGTCAGTGAAAAGAGCGCAGCGCGTTTCCTCCGGGAAAGCTTGGTTATATGGAGGAGCTTCTTCGGTCCCTGTCGCCGGTCTCGTTCTCCATCTGTGACACCAAAATTTTCACCTTTGGGCCAATTTGTGATGACCTCCAAAACTCCAGGGCTGTTCAGTTTACCTGTCTCTGTTACAGTGTCTCTGTCCCTCTGGGAGCCTCTCAGGCACCCCCAGCCAGTCCCGAGTTGGCAACCCCGACGCGGCCGACGGCGGGGAGACGCTGTCCCAAGCCCCAAGGGTATGGTTGTCACCTTTGCAGCAGGAGAGACGCCAGAGACATGGTGTCCTGGTTTAGGGCAGATTTGTTAAAGGATCTGGAAAGGAGGGGGCCCCTCCAGAAAGCAAAACCCACACGGCCCCTCCGCCCAACCGGTTCGGGAAAAAATTCCTTGGAGAGAGGTGGAAAGAACCTGTTTATTTCAGGCGCAGCACCCCCCCGCAAGCAAAATGAACAATACCCGATGACACCGCTCTGACAAAGATGGCAAAATCAGAAAGTCTCTTTCGGGGGTGGTCGCTCTGTTCTCAGTCCCTCCGGCGCTGGACCAGCTGCTGCAGCCGAACCTTCGGTGTTCCCAGGTCCCAGTGCGGAGCAGGTTCGAGATGGTCACAGGAACAGGAGAGGAGAAACAGTCCGGGAAGGGATTTGGACTGTTTAGCTGAACCAGCTAATGAGCAGAAGCAGAAGCGAGAGCAGAAAAGGGGGCGAGCAAAGCAGCAAGCTGAAAGCAAGAAGTGAAAACAGCCGCAAGTACTGCTCGTCTCTGTGTCCCTGATAAGAGAAACCCAAACAAAACTTCCACTCTTCAGAGCCGCTCTTGAAGGCACAGAACAGATGGATGGGGATACGAGCATCGTGACGTCACCCCAGGACAATCTGAAAATGAGGGCCCCCCTCCAGAAAGCAAAACCCACACGGCCCCACCGCCCAACCGGTGCGGGAAAAAATTCCTCGGAGAGAGGTGGAAAGAACCTGTTTATTTCAGGCACAGCACCCCCCAGCACACAAAATGAACAATACCCGATGACACCGTGTCGCAGACGCTTTTCCACAGAAATCCTTTCTTTCAGATTTCTGCATTTTCTGGGAAGCTGAGGGCCCCCAGAAAGAGAATGTAAACAATTGTTATCAGCTGCTGTGAAATGCAATGGGATGCACCTGTGATTGGCTCATGTTCCCGTGTTTATAATTAATGGCCAATCACAGGAGCAAGCTGGGGACAGAGTCCCTGGACACAACTTTGTTATGTTTTCTTTCTTGCTATTCTTAGCTTAGCAAGCATCTGCAAACCTCCCTTTTTATTCTTTTTAGTACAGTCATAATGTATTATGTATCACATATCAATAAATCCAGCCTTCCGATCAAGAAACAAGATTCTCGTCTTTCTCTCGCCGTGGAGACCTTCAACAGGTTCGCTGTAATAACGCCGCTCTGAGAAAGATGACAAAATTGGAAAGTCTCTTCTGGGGGTAGTCGCTCTGTTCTCAGTCCCTCCGGCGCTGGGGCGGCTGCTGCAGCCGAACCTTCGGTGTTCCCGGGTCCCAGTGCGGAGCAGGTTCAATGTGGAGAGTTTAGTTCAAGAATGGCTTAAAGAAAAAGGCCATGAGAGATACGATTGAGAGAAAAGTAAAAGGGAAAAGTAAAGCAGTTCCTAACGCAGTTCTCAGCCTTCTGATTTCTATAAACAATTCGACTCTCTTTATAAACAATAAAGTTCTCAGGCGGTCTTCCTATAACAAGCAGAACACCTGCTCTGGGAAAAGCTGGCACCCTGGGAACCGATGTGGAAGTTTTGGGAACCCTTCATATCACAGTGGGAACGTTGGTTCTGTTTTTGATAAACAATTGTAGGTATTCTAAAACAAAAGGAGTGGTTAGAGTTTTCTCTGTCAGCCTATCATGAACTTGGATTACAGAATACGCATGAAATTCGTTAACACTGTTATTTAAGGGGATTGATTGATCAATAAATCGGAGTTCGATGCATCAATCGGATGGTCCTTCTCCCTTCACTTCAATAGTTCGAGATGGTCACAGGAACAGGAGAGGAGAAACAGTCCAGGAAGGAATTTGGACTGTTTAGCTGAACTAGCTAATAAGCAGAAGCAAAAGCGAGAGCAGAAAAGGGAGCATGCAAAGCAGCAAGCTGAAAGCAAGGAGTGAAAAACAGCCCCAAGTACTGCTCGTCTCTGTGTCCCTGATAAGGGAAACCCAAACAAAACTTCCACTCTTCAGAGCCGCTCTTAAAGGCACAGAACAGATGAATGGGGATATGAGCATCATCACGTCACCCCAGGACACCTGCGAAAGTCCGCCATGCAGATGCCCATGCCCCCAAGAGCAGGGCCAATGAGGAGCAGCAGAACCATGAGCAGGTGGACCAAGCCGCAAAGATAGGGGTGTCCAACATGGACTGAAGAAGCTCCTCCATATAACCAAGTTTTCCCAGAGGAATTGTGCTACGCTCTTTTCACCGACGGTTCCTGTCGCATGGTAGGGATGAACCAGAAGTGGAAAGCAGCCATATGGAGCCCCACACGACAGGTTGCACAAGCTGCCGAAGGAGAAGGTGGATCGAGCCAACTTGCTGAACTCAAAGCTGTTCAACTGGCCCTGGACATTGCTGAGAGAGAGAAGTGGCCAAAGCTCTGCCTCTACACCGATTCATGGATGGTAGCCAATGCTCTGTGGGGATGGCTGGAGAGGTGGAAAGAGGCCAATTGGCAACGTAGAGCGAAAACCAATTTGGGCTGCTGATGAGTGGAAAGACATTGCTACCAGGGTAGGGAGGCTACCTGTGAAAGTCTGCCATGTAGATGCCCATGTACCCAAGAATAGGGCCAATGAGGAGCACCAGAACAATGAGCAGGTAGACCAAGCTGCAAAGATAGGGGTGTCCAACATAGACCTAGAGTGGGAACATAAGGGACAGTTATTCCTAGCTAGATGGGCCCATGATGCCTCAGGCCACCAGGGCAGAGATGCCACCTATAAATGGGCACTAGAGCGAGGGGTGGATCTAACCATGGACAGTATTTCTCAGGTTATCCATGACTGTGAGACGTGTGCTGCCATCAAGCAGGCCGAGCGAGTGAAGCCCCTGCGGTACGGTGGGTGGTGGTCCAAGTACAAGTATGGGGAGGCCTGGCAGATTGACTCCAACACACTGCCCCAGACATGCCAGGGCAAGCGCTACGTGCTGACCATGGTGGAAGCCAGCACTGGATGGTTGGAAACCTACCCTGTGTCTCATGCCACAGCCCGGAACACCATCCTGGGCCTTGAAAAGCAAGTCCTGTGGAGACATGGCACCCCTGAGAGGATCGAGTCAGACAACGGGACTCATTTCAAGAACAGCCTTATCAACACCTGGGCTAGGGAACATGGCATTGAGTGGGTGTACCATATCCCCTACCATGCACCAGCTGCAGGGAAAGTGGAGAGGTACAATGGACTACTAAAAACCCAGTTGAAAGCTTTGGGTGGGGGATCTTTCAAGAATTGGGAGCAGCATTTAGCAAAGGCCACCTGGTTAGTCAACACCCGAGGTTCCACCAACCGAGCAGGTCCTGCCCAGTCTGAGTCCCTGAATGTAATAGAAGGAGACAAAGTCCCAGTGGTACATATCAGAGGTTTGTTAGGGAAGACTGTGTGGATCAACTCTGCCTCGAGTAGAGACAAACCCATTCGTGGGGTTGTCTTTGCTCAGGGACCAGGTTGCACGTGGTGGATAATGCAAAGAGATGGAACAACACGATGTGTACCTCAGGGAGATATGATTGTGGGGTAAGAATGATATGCAATATCACTGTTCATTGGATGTTACTGCCATTGTCTGTACATTAAACCATACAGACATGAGATAGAAGGAAATGTGTAAGAGTTGAAGGTCTGGGCAAGTGGAAGATGGAGAAGGAAATGTGTAAGTGTCGAAGGTCTGAGCAAGTGATAGATGGAGCTTTAAGTGACTAAAGTGAAAAGGGGGAATCCTGCAGCTCTGTAATATAGGGCCTGGATTCAGTGGTCCAGTGTGGGGATGTGATGAAGGCATGATGGGTATTGCTTGTAATTTTGGGGAAACAGATGGAAATTTTGTATGAATAATGCATGATGTGTTGTAGTATGTTGATGATATGGGGATAACGGGTGGAATGTCCTGGGGTGACGTTATGATGCTTGTATCCCCATTCATCTGTTCTGTGCCTTTAAGACTGGCTCTGAAAAGTGGAAGTTTGTTTGGGTTTCCCTTATCAGGGACACGGAGACAAGGCAGTACATAGGGCTGCTTTTCCCCTTCTAGTTGGCAGCTTGTTGCTTTTGCTTGCTTGCTTTTCTGCTCTTGCTTCTGCTCTCACTTTTGCTTCTGCTTATTAGCTAGTTTAGCTAAACAGTCCAAATTCCTTCCCGGACTGTTTCTTCTCTCCTGTTCCTGTGACCATCTCGAACCTGCTCCGGACTGGGACCCGGGAACACCAAAGGTTTGGCTGCAGCAGCTGGCCCAGCGCCGGAGGGACTGAGAACAGAGCAACCACCCCCGAAAGAGACTTTCTGATTTTGTCATCTTTCTCAGAGCGGTGTCAGCTGGTATTGTTCATTTTGTGTGCGGGGGGTGCTGTGCCAGTCAAATAAAAAGGTTCTTTCCACTTCTGTCCGAGGAATTTTTTCCCGAACCGGTTGGGCGGAGGGGCCGTGTGGGTTTTGCTTCCTGGAGGGGCCCTCCTTTGCAGATTCTTTAACAAATTTGCCCTAAACCAGTACAGAGGCTCATCCGGCTAGTTCTAATTTTGGTCCCATCCCCATCCCTGTTGCCCAGGTCCTTCCCTCCTACCCTTGACACCATTGTTGACGCCCACACACCCAAATCTGGACCATTTTTCCCAAATCTTGACCATTTGCACCCAGGGTTGAGAGCCTTGATTGAGTCTTGGAGCCAAAAGCTGAGGTGTGGCGCCAAGAGCCGAGATTTGGGGCAGAACCAGCTGAGTTTGGAGCCAATGGTCACAAGTAGACCCCGCTGAGATCTGGGGCACAAAGGGCAGGGTTTTGGGGATGAACCTTTGAGAATTATTTCAAATTCTGAAAGCCCCATGGAAATGAGTGAGGTGAGACAATGATTGGGGAGATTGGGGAAAATGGTCAAGATTTGTGGCCAACGCTAAAGATTTGGGGGTAGAATGTGGGGTTTTGGGGTGTTTGTGGGCACAGTATCGAGGAGGGGCCACCACTGGCATCGTCATCATAACCAGCATCAATATTAGGACCACAACCACTACTGTAACATTTGGCGCAGAAATAGGATTCGGAATCCTCGTCCTTGAGGTTGTTCATGGTCAGCGTCACCGAGCTCTGCCCGTTGTCCCTGGAGATCGTGACCCGGCCCCTGAACGATGGCGCATAGTAGGTGCTGCCATCACTTTGGATCCCTCCGATGTGTTCCAGCCCCTGTCCGAGACTCTGGCGCATCCAGCCCATCCCAAATTTTCCAAAATCAAACCCAGACCCTCAGCAGAAGAGGTGCAGGGACCCCCCGGGGAGCTGGAGGTCCCCCCCGCACTCCAGCAGGGTCACGGCCGCTCCCCCATCCCCAAACCTTCACTGTGTTTCTGCCCCTAACTCCCTTTGTCTGGCCTCAAAACTCCAACAGAGATTTCCAGTATCGTAATGTGCCTTCAAATCTGCAATTAGCCCCAATCCACCCATTAATTAATTGGGAAGCTGTGCCTGACTTTTGCATCTCCTCATCCCCATCTCCCTTTTGTCCCGCGGGGCTCTGGGCAGCCGTGACCCTGCTGGAGTGCGGGGGGGACCTCCAGCCCCCCGGGGGCTCCCTGCGCCTCCTCTGCCGAGGGTCCGGCTTCTTTTTCAGCGGTTTTGACATGCTCTGGATCCGCCAGAGACCCGGGCAGGGCCTGGAGTGGCTCGCGGTGATCTACAGCAGTGGTTCCAGCACCAGATACGCGCCCTCGGTTCAGGGCCGGTTCAGGATCTCCAGGGACAACGGGCAGAGCTCGGTGATGCTGAACACGAACAACCTCAAGGACGAGGATTCTGCCACCTATTTCTTTGCCAAAACTTCTGGTAGTGGTTACTATAATCACGCTGCTGCATATTGTGTAGCCCTGCCCATGCCCCCAGGTTCCCCCCCTGTCCCCGTTCCCCAGACCCTTCCCCCAAACCCCAGCCCCTGACTCCTTTCCTGTCCCTGTGCCGCAACCCTGCCCTGGCTCTGCCCCACATTCTCAGCTCCTGGCCCCAAACCTCAGCTCGGGGCCCACTCGGGGCCATTTTGGCTCCTGAGCTCTCCTTAGCCATTCTGACCCTGCCCTTCACCGATGGAACGTTTCAGGTGACTCCACCCTTGCACCCCTCTGCTTGTCTCAGCATGGAGCCCTTGGCTCGATATCAATTTGAAAAATTCAAATTCCCCAAAATGTCATGTGTTTTTGTGTAAAAAAAAGGGTTTTTTCTCCATAGCTCCCACAGAGGATTCCAGCCCAGCCCCAAGGAGCAGCACCAGACACCGAGGCCGCTGAGGGAGAAGTGAAGCCCCAGGTGGGAGCGAGGGAGGGAGGGAGGGAGGAGAAGACGCCGCGATTTTGGGGCTCTGCAGCCTCCCCCCACTTCCTCCGTGGCAGCTGCCGGGGCCCAGCCGGGGCAGGAAAGGAAACAGAAAGTTCCTGGTTTTGGTCGTTATGAACATCTGTGTTTGGCAGAGGGCAGCTCAGCCTCGGGGCGCTGCGGCAGAGCGCTGGCTGCACAAAAAGCTTTGTGTGCAAAGGGCCCTGGAGCGATCCCCGTGCCACACTGGGACGGAGGGTATCTGGGGGAGATTGGGGAGAAATGGGGAAAATTGGGGGGAAACCAAAAGCTGTGGCAGCAGGGGTGGAGTTTAGGGGGAAATGGTCAAGATTTGAGAAACAGGGGTGGGGATTTTGGGGAAGGATCGGAGAATTCTGAGATATTTGGGAACAGAGAGGAGAGGGCTTGGGACCAACACCACCATCAACACCATAGGTAGCACCACCACTAACACAACCACTAGTGTAACATTTGCCACAGAAATAAAGGGCGGAATCGTCGTCCTTGAGGTTGTTCATGGTCAGCGTCACCGAGCTCTTCCCGTTGTCCCTGGAGATCCTGAACAGGCCCTTGGCCGATGGCACATAGTTGGTGGTGCCACCATTTTCACTGATCCCTGCGAGCTACTCCAAGCCCTGCCCGGGTTTCTGGCGGATCCACTGCATGCCGAAACTGCCAAAACTGAACCCGGACCCTCGGCAGAGGAGGCGCAGGGAACCCCCGGGAGGCTGGAGGTACCCCCCCCGCACTCCAGCAGGGTCACGGCTGCCCGGAGCCCTGCGGGACAAAGGGGAGATGGGGATGAGGCAATGCAAAAGTCAGGCAGAGCTGTCCAATTAATTAATGGGTGGACTGGGGCTAATTGCAGGGTTTTAGGGATTTTTCCATATAGGAAATCTCTCTTGGATATTTCATGCCAGACAAAGGGAATTTGCGGCAAAACCAGTGAAGGTTTGGGGATGGGAGAGCGGCCGTGACCCTGGTGGAGGCCGGGGGGGAAGACCAGCCCCCCAGGGGGTCCCTGCGCCTCCTCTGCCGAGGGTCCAAGTTCGATTTCGGGAGCAAAGGAATGTTCTGGATGCGCCAGAGACCCGGTCAGGGGCTGGAGTGGCTCACGGGGATCAACAGGGACGGTTCCAGCGCCAGCTACGGGCCCTCATTCAAGGACAGGGTCAGCATCTGCAGGGACAACGGGCAGAGCTCGGTGACGCTGACCATGAACAACCTCAGGGACGAGGATTCCGGATCGTATTTCTGCGCCAGATCTGCTGATAATTATTTAGGGAACAATGCTTATAATGTTGACCCCATCCTCATTGCTCTGCCCACTTCCATCCTCATTCCCCAGACCCTTCTCCCAGTACCCAGACCCTGACCCCATTCCTGTCCCCGTGTCCCAGCTCTGAACTGGTTCTGCCCCAAATCTCAGCTCCTGGACCCAAAACTCAGCTCTGGGCTCCAAGGCTCAACCAAGGTCCCAAAACCTGGGTGCAAATGGTCGAGATTCAGGGAAAATGGGTCAGATTTGGGTCCGTGGCTGTGACTCAGTTCCACCACTGAGATTTTGGGGCAGAATGGGTCCAGTCTGGGGGCGATGATTGGGATTTGATGGACGAGGCCGAGCTCAGGGTGAAACCGGCCCTGATTTTGGGACAGAGCTGAGATCTGGGGCCAGAGCAGGGCAGGATTGGGACAAAGGGTCAGGAATGTGGTCAGGGGTTGGAGGGAAGGGTGTGGGGCAAGGGGACAGGGATGAGGCTGAATGGACAACCAGCAGCAGCATTCCAACAACCAGTGCCAGGTTCTTTGGCACAGAAATAAACAGCGGAATCCTCGTCCTTGAGGTCGTTCATGGTCAGCGGAACCGAGCTCTGCCCGTTGTCCCTTGAGATCCTGACGCGATCCTTGAACGATGGCGCGAGGTTGGTGCCGGAACCATCGCTCCTGATGCTCCCGACCCACTCCAGCCCCAGCCTTGGTCTCTGGCGCCCTCATTGCATGGCAACACTCCCAAAACTGAACCCGGACCCTCGGCAGAGGAGGCGCAGGGACCCCCCGGGGGGCTGGAGGTCCCCCCTGCACTCCAGCAGGGTCACGGCCGCCCACAGCGCTGCGGGAGAAAGGGCAGGTGGGGATGAGAAACCTGATTGGTCCAGGGCCTCAAAGCAGGCGTGGCAATCTGGAAAACGGGATAGGAGGAGGATGATGAACTCCAAGGTTCAGAATTTGGGGCCAAGGTTCTGGATTTTGGTCAACGGTTGAGCTTTGACCTCATCCCCATCTCCCCTTTGTCCCGCAGAGCTCCGGGCGGCTGTGACCCTGCTGGAGTGCGGGGGGGACATCCAGCCCCCCGGGGGGTCCCTGACATTGCTGTGCCGTGCATCTGGGTTCAATTTCAGGGGTCAGTCCATGAGCTGGGTCCGTCAGAGACCCAGGCAGGGTTTGGAATGGGTCGTGGGCATCTACAGCTATGGTTCCTACACCGTGTTCGCGCCGTCATTCAAAGGCCGGTTCAGGATCTCCAGGGACAACGGGCAGAGCTCGGTCACGCTGACCATGAACAACCTCAAGGACGAGGATTCCGGATCCTATTTCTGTGCAAAGGGTTATTATAACAATGCTGCTGCTAATGACGCCTGTGTTATTGACGCCATCCCCGTCCCTGTGTCCCCCCTGTCCCAGTTCCCCAGACCCTTCCCCAAACCCCAGCCCCCGACCCCATTCCTCTCCCAGCTCTGAACTGGGTCCGCCCCAGTCTCAGCTCCTGGCCCCAAACCTCAGCTCTGGGCTCCACGTCCCAACCAAATTCCCCAAAACTGACGGGGATGTCCCGATCTGGCCCCACCGTGTCAATCTGCCTTTGCTTTGTGTGATTGGCCACAAACCTCTCGCGGTGAGCTGAGCCATTGAGTTCTGTGTGTGCTGCCGGGGCCGTGAGCCGCCGGCACCTCCCCAATGCCACAGCCCGGTGAGGACAGCGATGGTGGGAAACCAAACAGCTCCAGAGGGGTCCCCACAGCCCCGTCCCGTTTGGGATTGGGACAGAGACCCCCGGGCGGGGATGGGCCCAGGGCTGAGGTTTGGGGGAATTGTTGGGGGTTTGGGGACAGGTGGGGACACTGAGATGGGGGCGTGGATCCACCACTGGCATCGTCACCATAACCAGCAGGGCCACAGTCACTAGCATAAACAGATTTAGCACAGAAATAGGATCCGGAATCCTCGTCCTTGAGGTTGTTCATGGTCAGCATCACCTAACTCTGCCTGTTGTCACTGGAGAGCGTGAGCCGGCCCTTGTCCGAATCCGCATAGTAGGCGCTGCCACTTTTGCTGATTATTGCGACTGCTTCCAGCCACTGCCCGGGTCTCTGGCGCATCCAGCCCATCCCAAAATCCCTAAAACAGAACCTGGACCCTTGGCAGAGGAGGCGCAAGGACCCCCGGGTGGCTGGAGGTCCCGCCCACACTCCAGAAGGGTCATGGCCGCCCGGAGCCCTGAGGGACAAAGGGGAGATGGGGATGGGAAACCTGATTGGTTGAGGACCACTAAGCAGGTGTGGCAACCTGGAAAAAGGGGGCAGAACACAGCTGGGAGGAGGGTGATGAACACTTTCGCGCCCAGAGTCAGGGTCAAGGGTTGAGCTTTGTCCTCATCCCCATCTCCCCTTTGTCCCGCAGGGCTCCAGGCAGCCGTGACCCTGCTGGAGTGCGGGGGGGACCTCCAACCCCCGGGGGGTCCCTGCGCCTCCTCTGCCGAGGGTCCGGGTTCTCTTTTGGGAGTTTCAACATGTTTTGGATCCGCCAGAGACCCAGGCAGGCGCTAGAGTGGGTTGCAAGGATCAACACTGGTGGCAGCACCTGCAACGCGCCATCGGTCAAGGGCCGGTTCACGATCTCCAGGGACAACGGGCAGAGCTCGGTGACGCTGACCATGAACAACCTCAAGGACGAGGATTCCAGATCCTTTTTCTGTGCCAAATTTGCTGGTGCTGGTAATTGGGGTGCTGCTCCAGTTTATCCTTTTGGCCTTTTCCCCGTTCCCCAGACCCTTCCCCCAAACCCCAGACCCTGACCCCACTCCTCACTCTCTGTCCCAGCCCTGCTCTGGCTCTGTCCCAAATGTTTCCTCTGGGCCACACTCAGTGCCCTCGTTCCCCAAATGTCACCAAAATGTCTGGATTTGGGCCCAATGTTAAGATCAGGGATCAAGAATTCAAATTTTAGACCAAAATTCCTGATGTTAGGGCAACGGCGGAGATTTGGGTCGGTGGCTGTGACTCGGTGCCAGCAGGGGAGATTGGGGGTAAAACTGGACAAATCTGGGGGCAGTGATTGGGATTGGAGGGCCAAGGCTGAGCTCAGGGTGAAACCGGCCGTGATCTGGGCCCAGGAGCTGAGATTTGGGGCCAGAGCAGGGCAGAGCTGGGACACGGGGACAGCAATGGGGTCAGGGGCTGGGGTTTGGGGGAAGAGTCTGGGAATGGGGAGACGTGGGAAACAGGGCTGGGGCCAAAATGTCAAACATCAGCATCATAAGGAGCAGCACCAGCACCGGTGCGCTTGGCACAGAAATAGGATCCGGAATCCTCGTCCTTGAGGTTGTTCATGGTCAGCGTCACCGAGCTCTGCCCGTTGTCCTTGGGGATCGTGAACCGGCCCTTGACTGACGGCACGTATGTGGTGCTGCCACCATTGTCACTGATCCCTGCAAGCCACTCCAGCCCCTGCCCTGGTCTCTGGTGCATCCAGAGCTTTGCAAATTTCCCAAAATCGAATCCAGACCCTCGGCAGAGGAGGCACAGGGACCCCCCGGGGGGCTGGAGGTCCCCCCTGCACTCCAGCAGGGTCACGCCGTTCCCCCATCTCCAAACCTTCACCGGTTTTCACCAGACTCCCCTTGTTTGCTCCCAAATCTACACCACAATTTTCCATAATCGAGGTTGCCTCAAACCCTACAATTAACCCCTCTCCGCTCATTAATTACTTGGACAGCTCGTCCTGAAACCTCTGCATTATTTGCCGAATTAACATCTTGGTAACAACCCCCAAAACCCTCTGGCACCCCCTCCCCGGCACATCCCGGCCACTGCCTCGAGCTCCCACCGGCTCCTGGTTCTGTTGGCCCTCCCAAGAGGGTCAAACTCCCTTTCTCCAGTTGGCCACACCCACTCCATGCCCACAGCCAATCAGGTTCCTCATCCCCATCTCCCCTTTGTCCCGCAGGGCTCCGGGTGGCCATGACCCTGCTGGAGTGCGGGGGACACCTCCAGCCCCCCGAGGGGTCCCTGCACCTCCTCTGCCGAGGGTCCGGGTTCAGTTTTGGAAATGTCGACATGAGCTGGGTCCGCCAGAGACCCGGGCAGGGGCTGGAAGGGGTTGGAGTGGTCAACAAGGGTGGATCCAGCACCTTCTACGCGCCATCGTTCAAGGGCAGGGTCACGATCTCCAGGGACGACGGGCAGAGCTCGGTGACGCTGACCATGACCAACCTCAAGGACGAGGATTCCGGATCCTATTTCTGTGCGAAACATGCTGCTGGGAGTTCGGGTACTCTTACTGAGTTTGGTGTTTGTGATATTGACCCTGATCTCATCTCTGTGTCCCCACCCAATCCCCAAACCTCAATCCCGGACCCCGTGTCCCAACCCTGGAGTGGCTCTGCCCAAAATTCTCACACTGATTTTGGCTACAAGGTTCACCCAAACCTTAAAGCTTGGCCTGAAATATCCGCATTCAGTATAAATGATATAAATTTTTGGGCACACAGAGGAGATTCGAAGTCTGGAGGTATGGTTGGGGGTCAGTAGATGAGAACTGGGGTCAAGGCAGAGCAAGTTTGGGATCACTGGTCAGGGGCTGGGGACGGGTGGGGACTTCAACAAGGGAGTAGGGCTGCTCTGTTGTCATTGTCACCATGGCCAGCACTGTTACCCCAAGTGCCATCAGCAGATCTGGTGCAGAAATAGGTGGAAGAATCCTCATCCCTGTGGTAGTTCATGGTCAGCGCCACCGAGCTCTGCACGTTGTCCCTGGAGATTGTGAATCGGCCCCGCACTGATGGGCTGTACATGGTGCTGCCACTGGTGCTGATCCCTGCCACCCATTCCAGTCCTTGCCCAGGCTTCTGCCTCATCCACATCATCCCAAAATTCCCCAAACTGAACCTGGACCCTCGGCAGAGGAGGCGCAGGGACCCCCCGGGGGACTGGAGGTCCCCCCGCACTCCAGCAGGGTCACGGCCACCCGGAGCCCTGCGAGAAAAAGGGGAGATGGGGATTGGGCCAAAGCTCAACCCTTGACCCAAATCCTGAATCTGGGCCCCAAATTGGGACCCATGGAGTTCATCATCCTCCTCCCAGGTGGGTCCTGCCCCTTTTTCTAGCTGGCCTTGCCCAGTATGAGGCCCTCGGCCAATCGGGTTTCTCATCCCCCTCTCCCCTTTGTCCTGCAGGTCTCCGGGCGACCGTGACCCTGCTGGAGTGCGGGGGGGACTTCCAGCCCCCCAGGGGTTCCCTGCACCTCCTCTGCAGAGGGTCCGGGTTCGATTTTGGAGGTTCCACTCTGTATTGGATCCGCCAGAGACCCGGGCAGGCGCTGGAGTGGCTCGCTGGGTTCAGCGGCAGCGCCACCTACGCGCCGTCGGTCAAGGGCCGGTTCACGATCTCCAAGGACAACGGGCAGAGCTTGGTGATGCTGACCATGAACAACCTCAAGGACGAGGATTCCGCCATTTATTTCTGCGCCAAAGCAGCCGGTGCTTATAGCAATGATGGTGCTGCTTATGGCCTCACGTCAGGAATTTTAGCCCAAGGTTTAAATTCTTGACCTCTCATCTCAGCCTTAGTCCCAAATGTTGACCTTGTCTGTAATCTTTGGTGTACGAGGGCACTGAGTGTGGCCCAGAGGTGACATTGGGGACAAAACCAGACTAGGACTGGGACAAAGGTTCAGGAATGGGGTCCAGGCTTCCGGGCAGAGCCCTCCCCCTCCAGCCCAGCCCCTCCCCAGCTCAGGGTCAGTGGGAAACTCCCACTGCAGGACTCGAACCCCTGGCCCTGGGCAACCATGGAGAGATTGACCAGCCCAGGTGGGGACAGAGGGGCCAGGGTTGGGCCTGGGCAGGGGTCTGGGGACAACTGGGGACATGGCCATGGGGGAACAGCCAAAGTACTGGCAGTGTTGGCATTGCTACCAGAACTTCGCTTG